TTTGTTTACAATTATTAAACAGTTAATGAGCTCCGAAGTACAGGAGGCACCCTGAGAGAAATCAGAACTATGTGTAGAATAATAAACCCGACATTGTTTGAGTTAGGAAAACACTATTTGTCAAATATTGATATTGTTCTTAACAGATTCCCCTCATTTTGCACCCGCAAGATAACGTAAGCTTTTAAGGATTGACAGATGTTAATCTTCTTGTTTGAGGAGTTGTTCACTTGAGACAGTTAAGCAAGTCCCAGCTGTGTCTGGGTACAAGTGACAGGATGAACAACCCAGCGGGTTTTCTTCCTATTGGGGAGTGTTGTACATGCTGCTATGGCGGCGTGTTCACTCACAAGATGAGTGGCGCTGCCCAATACTGTCACTATGGCGGTGTGTTCACTCACAGGATGAGTGGCGCTGCCCAATACTGTCACTATGGCGGCGTGTTCACTCACAAGATGAGTGGAGCTGCCCAATACTGTCACTATGGCGGCGTGTTCACTCACAAGATGAGTGGCGCTGCCCAATACTGTCACTATGGCGGTGTGTTCACTCACAAGATGAGTGGCGCTGCCCAATACTGTCACTATGGCGGTGTGTTCACTCACAAGATGAGTGGCGCTGCCCAATACTGTCACTATGGCGGTGTGTCCACTCACAAGATGAGTGACGCTGCCCAATACTGTCACTATGGCGGCGTGTTCACTCACAAGATGAGTGGCGCTGCCCAATAAACTTTAAACAAAAAATTTAAACAGTTGATTGGCAAGTTTTCAAACTGTTAAATATATGTAACCAAAGCCGTCAAAGATTGAGAAAAGATGTACACGTGCGTAATTGCTTCGTGAATCTGGCCCCAGGTTCGTAAGTACTTGCGTAACTGTTTCGTGAATCTGGCCAATGGTCATCCCGAGGTTCTCGTGCTTCGAGAAGCCTCTCGATGATTCTGAAACACCCAAAGCCCCTGTCACCAGCTCCGTCCTCATCAACAAAGGCCAAATGCTCATTAATCTACCCACCAACCTTCTCTGTTAATGGATGAAAAAATGTTTACACACGACTCACAACTGATGATATTCGAACATTTCTCGACCAGGGCTTCACTGTTCGAATCGCAACGCTGTAAATGCTTCACCGACGTACTTCAAATACAATTAAATCACCAACAGAACCTAAACACCTAACCTATGCCTATACACACAAAAGTATAACATTTAGTAATAATACAGAAATGAGAACAAACTATTTTTAATAAACAATAGGCTAAAAATTGTGAATGCGTCTTGGGGAGTGGATGGCCGCGGCTTTAACGAGCCTGACATGAGGACGGGTTGCTTGTGTTTGCCTGAAATATCTTCCCTGAGTCCTGCACATTGCTTCCGTTGCTTGCACTCTCCTGCGTGCAGCACACCGTATTAGATCTGTGAAGCAGTCTTGGGGAACAGTGCTTGTAAACAGTGCTGCTTGTATTGGTGGCACTGGAAGCATGGTGGAGAGCAGGTGCCAGCAGGTGCCAGCAGGCCCCAGCAGGCCCCAGCAGGTGCCAGCAGGCCCCAACAGGAGTCAGCAGGCCCCAGCAGGCCCCAGCAGGTGCCAGCAGGCCCCAGCAGGTGCCAGCAGGCCCCAGCAGGTGCCAGCAGGCCCCAGCAGGTGCCAGCAGGCCCCAGCAGGTGCCAGCAGGCCCCAGCAGGTGCCAGCAGGCCCCAACAGGAGTCAGCAGGCCCCAGCAGGCCCCAGCAGGTGCCAGCAGGCCCCAGCAGGTGCCAGCAGGCCCCAACAGGAGTCAGCAGGCCCCAGCAGGTGCCAGCAGACCCCAGCAGGCCCCAGCAGGTGTCAGCAGGTCCCAGACACACACACACACACAGTAGGCATGTGAGGACGAGAGCAGGAGTCACCCTGTCACAAGGTCCGCCCGCACCTTACAAACCATCCAGCATAACTACCACCACTTCTCTCTGCTGGGTATACCCCGGGGTATAACCCCAGGAGTATAACCCGGGCACTCGTGGGTATACTCTCACCCACCACACCCCTGCTCCACCCACTGCCCCAGCCCCTCAACCCCCACCCTTTCCACTGTTCCCCATTTCATGAATTCTCAACTACCACTTTTTTATCATCCCCTGTATTAGAATCTATAACTAAGTATTTTGTATATCAGGATCATGTCCCCCCATTCAGTAATTCTTCAAATAACGTTACGTATCTCTCAATCTATCCTCTTGTTACAATTTCTTGATCACTTATGTCCTCAAGGGGGACTTGTACCGCTCAAGATGGTCGAGTTATAGCTCCCTAGCCCCGGCATCCCGTCTCCCGGTCAGTTGACTCAATGACGGCCGTTATTCGTTCTGTTCGTTGATGCAACTTAATTAATTAACCTCAATCTCCTCTTGCAACCCGCGCCATTTGTTCTGCAACTTTTATTTGCGAGATGTTTTTGGCAGACATTTTTCACAAGGCAATCCAACAGGAGACGAAGGCAACAGGAGACGAAGGCAACAGGAGACCAAGGCAACAGGAGACCAAGGCAACGGGAGACGAAGGCAACAGGAGACTAAGGCAACGGGAGACGAAGGCAACAGGAGACGAAGGCAACAGGAGACCAAGGCAACGGGAGACGAAGGCAACAGGAGACGAAGGCAACGGGAGACGAAGGCAACAGGAGACGAAGGCAACAGGAGACTAAGGCAACGGGAGACGAAGGCAACAGGAGACGAAGGCAGCGGGAGACGAAGGCAACGGGAGACGAAGGCAACAGGAGACGAAGGCAACGGGAGACGAAGGCAACAGGAGACGAAGGCAACGGGAGACGAAGGCAACGGGAGACGAAGGCAACAGGAGACGAAGGCAACAGGAGACGAAGGCAACAGGAGACTAAGGCAACGGGAGACGAAGGCAACGGGAGACCAAGGCAACGGGAGACGAAGGCAACAGGAGACGAAGGCAACGGGAGACGAAGGCAACAAGAGACGAAGGCAACGGGAGACGAAGGCAACGGGAGACGAAGGCAACAGGAGACCAAGGCAACGGGAGACGAAGGCAACAGGAGACGAAGGCAACAGGAGACGAAGGCAACAGGAGACGAAGGCAACAGGAGACAAGGTCAACAGGAAACAAACCAACAGGTATCAAAATAGCATAAGGAAGATCAGGAGAAAACCCAACAGCATAAATGTATGTAGAAGACAAGTCAGCTTGATACAAGCCAGTTGGAAGCAATCAAGATGAATACAAAACACCAGGTGGCAAGGCACCTGTTGTGGGATACAACTTGCATCCCACAACGAGGAAAACAACAAGCTAAAAGCCACCACGAAAAAAGCCATTAGCAGGAGACCGGAGTGAAGACCGCGAGCCAAAACGTTGACCAAGCCATCAGCCTTAACAGATAACCGGATAGCCAGACTCCCGCCCCCCCTTGTTCCTGTTATCAGGAGCCTCCAACAGAGACATGGACGGGGTGACACGGGGGGGGGGGGGGCACGGGAAGGGTGACACATCGACAGACAAATGAAAAAAATCCAAATCAAAAAAATATTCCATTTCGCCCGAACACCTTGAAGGACAAGTGAAAAAAAACAATGATTGAACAAAAACTTAACCCAGACCACATCACAAGTTGGCACTGGGTACAAAAACACTGGCTATGGGTACAAAAAACTGGTCACGGGTACAAAAAACTGACCAGGGGGTACAAAAACTAGCCGCTGGTACAAAAACTAGCCATTAACAAAAAGCTTCGAAGCCTCCTGTATCCGAACAAAAAATATTCACTTATTTTACATCAATTATTAGGACGTCACACTGGTCTCAGGGCGTCACACCGGTCTCAGGGCGTCACACCGGTCTCAGGGCGTCACACCGGTCTCAGGGCGTCACACCGGTCTCAGGGCGTCACACCGGTCTCAGGGCGTCACACTGGTCGCAGGGCGTCACACTGGTCTCAGGGCGTCACACTGGTCTCAGGGCGTCACACTGGTCGCAGGGCGTCACACTGGTCCCAGGGCGTCACACTGGTCCCAGGGCGTCACACTGGTCCCAGGGCGTCACACTGGTCCCAGGGCGTCACACTGGTCCCAGGGCGTCACACTGGTCCCAGGGCGTCACACTGGTCCCAGGGCGTCACACTGGTCCCAGGGCGTCACACTGGTCCCAGGGCGTCACACTGGTCCCAGGGCGTCACACTGGTCCCAGGGCGTCACACTGGTCCCAGGGCGTCACACTGGTCCCAGGGCGTCACACTGGTCCCAGGGCGTCACACTGGAGAAGACAGGATAGCCGTCTTTAAATACATTTATCAGTCAAGATATTGTTAGCGTCTGGAGTTTTCCGGTCAGCTCCTAACCTTCGCTGCCCACTACAGCTGCTGGGTACGTGGCGTCGCTGCCCACTACAGCTGCTGGGTACGTGGCGTCGCTGCCCACTACAGCTGCTGGGTACGAGGCGTCGCTGCCCACTACAGCTGCTGGGTACGTGGCGTCGCTGCCCACTACAGCTGCTGGGTACGAGGCGTCGCTGCCCACTACAGCTGCTGGGTACGAGGCGTCGCTGCCCACTACAGCTCCTGGGTACGTGGCGTCGCTGCCCACTACAGCTGCTGGGTACGAGGCGTCGCTACCCACTACAGCTGCTGGGTACGAGGCGTCGCTGCCCACTACAGCTGCTGGGTACGTGGCGTCGCTGCCCACTACAGCTGCTGGGTACGAGGCGTCGCTGCCCACTACAGCTGCTGGGTACGAGGCGTCGCTGCCCACTACAGCTGCTGGGTACGTGGCGTCGCTGCCCACTACAGCTGCTGGGTACGAGGCGTCGCTGCCCACTACAGCTGCTGGGTACGAGGCGTCGCTGCCCACTACAGCTCCTGGGTACGTGGCGTCGCTGCCCACTACAGCTCCTGGGTACGTGGCGTCGCTGCCCACTACAGCTGCTGGGTACGTGGCGTCGCTGCCCACTACAGGTCCTGGGTACGTGGCGTCGCTGCCCACTACAGCTCCTGGGTACGTGGCGTCGCTGCCCACTACAGCTCCTGGGTACGTGGCGTCGCTGCCCACTACAGCTCCTGGGTACGTGGCGTCGCTGCCCACTACAGCTCCTGGGTACGTGGCGTCGCTGCCCACTACAGCTCCTGGGTACGTGGCGTCGCTGCCCACTACAGCTCCTGGGTACGTGGCGTCGCTGCCCACTACAGCTCCTGGGTACGTGGCGTCGCTGCCCACTACAGCTGCTGGGTACGTGGCGTCGCTGCCCACTACAGCTGCTGGGTACGTGGCGTCGCTGCCCACTACAGCTGCTGGGTACGTGGCGTCGCTGCCCACTACAGCTCCTGGGTACGTGGCGTCGCTGCCCACTACAGCTCCTGGGTACGAGGCGTCGCTGCCCACTACAGCTGCTGGGTACGTGGCGTCGCTGCCCACTACAGCTCCTGGGTACGTGGCGTCGCTGCCCACTACAGCTGCTGGGTACGTGGCGTCGCTGCCCACTACAGCTGCTGGGTACGTGGCGTCGCTGCCCACTACAGCTGCTGGGTACGTGGCGTCGCTGCCCACTACAGCTGCTGGGTACGTGGCGTCGCTGCCCACTACAGCTCCTGGGTACGTGGCGTCGCTGCCCACTACAGCTCCTGGGTACGAGGCGTCGCTGCCCACTACAGCTGCTGGGTACGTGGCGTCGCTGCCCACTACAGCTGCTGGGTACGTGGCGTCGCTGCCCACTACAGCTGCTGGGTACGTGGCGTCGCTGCCCACTACAGCTGCTGGGTACGTGGCGTCGCTGCCCACTACAGCTGCTGGGTACGAGGCGTCGCTGCCCACTACAGCTGCTGGGTACGTGGCGTCGCTGCCCACTACAGCTCCTGGGTACGTGGCGTCGCTGCCCACTACAGCTGCTGGGTACGTGGCGTCGCTGCCCACTACAGCTCCTGGGTACGTGGCGTCGCTGCCCACTACAGCTGCTGGGTACGTGGCGTCGCTGCCCACTACAGCTCCTGGGTACGTGGCGTCGCTGCCCACTACAGCTGCTGGGTACGTGGCGTCGCTGCCCACTACAGCTCCTGGGTACGTGGCGTCGCTGCCCACTACAGCTGCTGGGTACGTGGCGTCGCTGCCCACTACAGCTGCTGGGTACGTGGCGTCGCTGCCCACTACAGCTGCTGGGTACGTGGCGTCGCTGCCCCCTGGATTGGTCTAGTCAAACAACTACTGCTATATAACAGAACAAGCTACAAGAGACTGTTTTATCTCTAGCTCATATTGAGTTATTTTAAGTTAGGTTAAATTCCGTTATATTAGGGTTAGGTAAAGGTTAGGGTAGGGTTAGGGTTAGGTTTAGGGTTAGTTTAAGGTTTCAAAACAAGGTTTTTTGACAATCAGCAAACGAGATTTGGGGAAAAAAATTGTGTGATTTGATCTGCATCTCCTCAGTTATCATATAATTACTTTCCTCCTCCTAATCCATTTGTCGTTCTTCCTTAATTATCGCTGTCGTTCCTGTATTCCTTAATTATCAGTGTTTCTCTTATTCCTCCTTCCTCTCTCCCGCCTCACACCTTCCCAGGAAGACACTTCGTGTTGACAGTAATTAAAGCTATTAACAAAAAATTCCGATTGACTAGAAAATCCTGAGAGCCGCCCACCAGCAGGAATAATTCTATAAGAAAGCCTTCCTTGAAGGATGAAATTCATTTCACAATGAAATCCAATGCCAAATACTGAGATCATGCAATGGGCTCGAACTCTCGACCCTGAGCTCATCGTACCCCTCAGGCACCACCGACTGGACTAAGAAGTACCAGCAGGCGGTGGAAGACCCGCCATACACAGAGCACTTTCATCAGACGAGTGACAAGCCTTCAAACTGAAATGCTGAACGTATGACTTCGAAGGATCTTTCCTCGAGAAAGCCAGCGGAGTGTGGAAGAACATGACGTTGCACAAATCTTGCACAACACTCTCAAGTTCAGGAGTCTTGCACTTTGGTCAAGTGCAAGACTTGCACGGTGTCCTTGACCGGTGAGTTGATGTGTGCGAGTAAGTGCACTCTCCGTGCAACCCTTGACCACCTGGTGAGGTGAGGCCAGGTAACTGTCAACGAGAAAGCATTAAGCATAGCGTTAATTATCCTGACTTACAGGTGAAGATAAGAATTCCTTCGGCATGTTGTCAGCACTGGTGCAATGATCCAAAATATTCCCAATGGCTCGGTTTTGTACACGATTTTGTTGGAGTTTTGTAGGGGTGTTGTAGAGGATTATGTAGAGGGGTTAGTAGAGGGTTTTGTAGGGGTGTTGTAGAGGATTATGTAGAGGGGTTAGTAGAGGGTTTTGTAGGGGTGTTGTAGAGGATTATGTAGAGGGTTTTGTAGGGGTGTTGTAGAGGATTATGTAGAGGGTTTTGTAGGGGTGTTGTAGAGGATTATGTAGAGGGGTTAGTAGAGGGTTTTTTAGGGGTGTTGTAGAGGATTATGTAGAGGGTTTTGTAGGGGTGTTGTAGAGGATTATGTAGAGGGGTTAGTAGAGGGTTTTGTAGGGGTGTTGTAGAGGATTATGTAGAGGGGTTAGTAGAGGGTTTTGTAGGGGTGTTGTAGAGGATTATGTAGAGGGGTTAGTAGAGGGTTTTGTAGGGGTGTTGTAGAGGATTATGTAGAGGGGTTAGTAGAGGGTTTTGTAGGGGTGTTGTAGAGGATTATGTAGAGGGGTTAGTAGAGGGTTTTGTAGGGGTGTTGTAGAGGATTATGTAGAGGGGTTAGTAGAGGGTTTTGTAGGGGTGTTGTAGAGGATTATGTAGAGGGTTTTGTAGGGGTGTTGTAGAGGATTATGTAGAGGGGTTAGTAGAGGGTTTTGTAGGGGTGTTGTAGAGGATTATGTAGAGGGGTTAGTAGAGGGTTTTGTAGGGGTGTTGTAGAGGATTATGTAGAGGGTTTTGTAGGGGTGTTGTAGAGAGTTTTGTAAAGGGTTTTGTAAAGGGTTTTTAGTTTTTTAGGGAGTTATGTTGGGGTTTTGCTTGACCGGGAGCCGGTTGGCCGAGCGGACAGCACGCTGGACTTGTGATCCTGTGGTCCTGGGTTCGATCCCAGGCGCCGGCGAGAAACAATGGGCAGAGTTTCTTTCACCCTATGCCCCTGTTACCTAGCAGTAAAATAGGTACCTGGGTGTTAGTCAGCTGTCACGGGCTGCTTGCTGGGGGTGGAGGTCTGGTCGAAGACCGGGCCGCGGGGACACTAAAGCCCCGAAA